GGAACGAAGCTCTCCCCAAGCAGCCATTTTAGTCAGGCAAGGGGCCGTTGTCCTTGCACGCTCTGCGCGTCTGCAGGTTTCTTGGTCTCCGAGAGGGCTCTGTGTGGAGGGCAGTGCTGGGTGCTGCCAGGATGAGACCAGCCGCTTTCCCCCTCCCTCCCTAAGCAAAAGCCCAGCATGGTTTTTCCGTGATAGAGTCAGACTGACAGCACTTTTCTGCCAGGTTTTAGGCTTGGAACTGGTGGTGTGCTGCTTTTTGGCATTTTAATCTCTTATAAGTGTACTGGAGTAGCCCCGAGGCCATTTGCTGGTTCTGTTTGTAGAGAAACTATGGCTTTAAGGGGTCCTGCTCCTCACTATTACTTAACCTGTGCTGCCAGCTCTAGTTTAGTGGCCTCAAAGACCTGTCAATTCTGGTAATTGAAATCCAGTATCATGGGCATCTGGTTGCCCAAAATCTAAATGACACTGTTCCCCAGAGTTACTAACACTGACTTTTTCAGAGGTGGCGTATTCCCAGAGCACTGGCCAGAAAGAGCAGCTGAGCCGCTGCCTGCAGCGAGGTAAGAGCATGCCGTTTGGTTTCCTTCACACCCCAGTTCTCTCTTGCTGCTACTCTAGTTTTTTTAACATGTTCCTAATGCTCTTGGACATGGCAAAAGCCTTCAGAGCTGGCAGCAAGGTATGAAGGCGGCAGTTAGTTCTGCATCCAGCCAGTGGCTGCCTTCAGCAAACTGCCTCTCCTGCACTAAGGGACTTGGGAGATCTTTTCACGTTGTCTGCAGGGCTGCAGGAACCCTCGCGCCTTTGTCTGGGGCTGGGTGATTGCTGGCTGCAGTGTAATATTGAGGAGAGGTGTGTATCAGAAGCTGCTTGAGCTGATCTTTAAGGGCGGTGTCTTCTCACAGGGATCAGGCGGGTCCAGGATCTCTGTAAAGTCCTCCACCTCCCGACGGTGTTTGAGGAAACGGCGGTGTCCTACTTCCAGAGAGCTCTGCAGCACCCCTCCTTCCACCTAGTCAGTCTGGAGAAGAAGGAGCTGCTGGGGGGCTGCTGCGTCTTCGTGACTTGTCGACAGCACAACTGGCCCCTGACGATGGGGACGATCTGCTCCCTCCTTTATGCGAAGCAGGAGCTGTTTGCCAGCGTCTACCTGAGCCTTCAGAAAGAGCTCGGGCTCTCTGTGCCGGCCCTGAGCCTGGGGGATCTGGTGAAGACGCACCTGAACAGGTAACGGGGCCCCTTTCAGCCATTTCACCATGGGTGAAAAAGCTTCTGAAACGCAGCCGTGGCCAGGGCAGAGGTCCACACAAGCATGTTGCTGAGTGCTCTCAAACAAAGTGGCAAAACCACATCATCTGGAAAAGTATTCCCTTTGCAGCCCTGCATGCTAAGGAGGGGCATATCTACCGAGAGCCCGTTAGGCTGAGTAGCAGTACTGGTGCAGCAGCATCTAAAATTCGTGATCTGGGAGTGCACTTTGTTGTCCCTGGAATGACAAATGATGCATCGAGTTCTTGTTCCGTCCAGCGATTGTAGTACAACAGAGTAGCCCGGAGGTGGACGTGAGCAGCCGAAGGAGCAGGACTGGTGTTGGCTGGTGGGCTGGGGGCAATGGCCTACGTGTGTGCTGGGGTTTTTGCAGACTGTGATGGCTTTTCTGCCTCCCTTGTCAGTCTGGGCTGTGATTCTTCTCTTCCTGCCCCTTTCTCCTCAGTTTGGAGAGTGGGCAGTGCAGCACTTAGCTAGGTAACGTGAGCAGAAGCCCATGGCAGGAGCGGGGTGTGTCTGTCCTAAAGGACCTTACTGCAGCCAGCTCCCCCAGTGAGCTGGATTACTGAGGCACTGCGTGGTGAGGCTTCCCAGTCCCCTGGTGCTAACGATGGGCTCTTTACTCTTGCAGTTTTCGGCTATTCCAGCACGCGGCCGACATCCCTGCCCCATTTGTGGAGGACAAGGAGAAGATGGTTGCCCGAACGATGCAGATCGTGGAGCTGGCCAGCGAGACGTGGCTGATCACCGGCCGGCACCCTGTTCCCATCGTCACGGCTGCGGCCTTCCTGTCGTGGCAGTCGCTGCAGCCCGCCGCC